AAAAAAAAAAAAAAATAAGTACTTCGATGAGAGGTTTGAAAGCGTTCGTTAACTGTTTTAAGTTTTAACACGCATGTTGACGAAAATGCACTTTCGCTTCCGCACATCGTTCAACTATATATATATATTTTTATTTTATTACATCTTTCTTTCATAGTTACACAAGGCTCTGACAACAAACGCAAAGTCTTTTTAAAAATTACTTAAAAAAAAAATCGGATTTATTTCAATGTTTTCGATAATCAAAAAAATAGCAAAATAATAAATATAGGAAAAACGTTATTAAAATTTTGGCATAGGTGAATTTTCTCGGAAAAGTGAATTTGAAAGTGTCAAGTCTATTTTCGTTTGTTCGATGATCGAAAATACGAAATAATAAAATATAGAAAAAAGGAAAACCAAATTTTATTATCAATACAGGTATTCCACATTAAACTATTACTCATTTGCTGCATTTGGATATATTTAAGAAGCTACGTATATAAAACATGCCAATGTAAATCTGACGATTTAAAAGAAATGAAACTAATGCGACTTTAATAGGAACGTACAATTAGCAGATTATTTTTAGAAGAAATTGCAACGTGCTTATACAGATTGCATCTTGTTCATAAAGACTTCATGCAATTAACAAAACATTCTTTCAAATACGATATTTGCTACTATAATGTTCATAGAAAACATATATCTAAATACGTGTGCAGCTTTACATATTGTCATTCAATAAAACTAAAAAAATAAAACGTTGTTATAATTCTTGCAGTTTGAAATTTTTAAATATTATATTTAATATTATATTTAATTAGCATTATTATTTTTAATTAGCAATATTATTAGCATTATTATTCTACTCCCCTTTAATATTTGTTAATATTTGTTAATATTTATTAATTTAATTAGCATTATTATTCTACTCCCCTTTAATATTTGTTTCTGTATGAAAGCATATGAAAGTACACGTGTTTGCTTTTGCATATCCGGTACTTTTCTTTTTCGTACTCTTTGCAATTATTTTACAAAGAATATTAAATGCGAAGCATATTTATATAAACATACATATGTACTACGTACACCTACGTAGTATTTATGTGACTGATGAACAATGTAACGTACGTATACCAATAAAAATTATCCAAAGGTTTAATTTTTTAAAAATCATCATACGTAATGTGATTATTCACATTTTCCATAAAATGTTGATTTCTTATGTTTTTGTGCCAGAAAAGCTGTAGGAAATTTTAAAGGAAACGAGATAACTATTTCCTAAAAATGTTGATCAATTCTTTGTCATTACCATCTTCTTATTAGTGACATAATAGTTCGTATTATAAATAAACATTTTATATCTTACACTATAACTAAACTTTGTACATATTTTATTTTATAATATAACATGTCTTTATCGTAATAATTTGTTCTAGGCATGTGGGTGATTTTCCCTATGGTACCCCTTCTGATACGTGCGATTCTCGCGCATCCAGAGATCGACGATACAACGTTACCAGACATAATGGAACTAGGGAACGATAGCAACGATATACTGACCGACAACCACACCGAAAAATCTTGGAACGAAATATGGAAAGTATGGAAAAAGGGATCGTTAAAAGGTGAGCGAAACGAAAAGGCTCCGAATAATATTTTAACAGGTGAGAGGGGTAACTCGCGTTCTTTGATACACCTTCGGCCCTTCACGAAATCATTTCTTTTTTTTCCAGTACCGTTTGATCCCTGGAGCGGCAAACGAGCAAAAGGATATTCCCGAGCGAATGTTGATTTACAAGGGAAAGGAACGAAACTCGTGCATGATTCCTACGATCTCGACGCATTCGCGGATGGGTTCAACAACGTTAAGAGGATAAAGGCTAGGGGAAATATATTCAACAGTTGGGGCGGGAAAAGGGCGGAAAAACTGAACGACCGGGATCCGTTTTTATCACTGACGAAAAGTCCTAGTAACTTCCGTCTGGTGGAAAAAGGTTAGTCGGACATAAGATAGGTAAACACGCTCGAAAATATTGGTTTGCAAACATTTGAAAATAATCCGATCCTGCTTGCAACATTCAAAGTATTCATCGCATTGCGTTACATTCAAATTCGAATCATAGATTCAAAATTAATAGAGTTACGACAGATCGCAGATTCTCTAAGTTCAAAATTTCAACGCTTCGTTTTAAAGATGGACTCGTTGGAAGAAATGGCGGGAGATTCGACGATGAGAAACTTACGATACAAATGAAGAATTGGCTATCCACCGTGTGCAACACCTGGGAGAAAAAACACGACTGGTTCGTAGTCTCCTTAATGACACGCCCGTTGACGACAAATTACTAGCGAAATTAGCAGTTTTCATTCTTTATTTAAATATAATATCCTTAGCTGGCACTGCAGGGGAAATGACAAGAAAGCGGAACAACATTACAAGAAACCGAAGGGGTGGGGTCCATGGTTCGGCAAAAGAAGTTTAAAGGCGTACATCTTTCGTCTTGGAAACGAATATTTCGCGGTACCGACCTATTCCATAAAAGACGAGAACTTCCCTTTCAGAAAATACAATTAATCGAGCATTGACTATTCTATCTGTTTAGACAAATCCATAGAACGTTGAAAATTTATGACGAAGCAGTTTGGCGCGTTTGTCACCGTCATACTTTGCACAATTTTGTATATTTTGTTTGGAACATTATCTGATCTAAGGGGATCGAGAGTGAAAGGATATTCTTTAATATTAGTAACAAACGAGTTTCGGTGGTGAAATATGTCGAGTGATATATGTATATATATGTGTCATACAGCATTATAAATAAATTATCTGGTTAATCAAAATTTTCTTACGGATTCTGTGCATGTTTGTACATCCACGCGCGTTATTTTGATATTTACTTTGTACGGTTTGAAGATTGGTACATGTGTGCGCGTGTGTATTAGTAATTCATTAAGCACAAGTATTCATTTAAGATTTAATTGATTTTATCGTGTGAACATTACTTACCAACAATTGAAATTTACGTTTGTAAAATGACAGGTCCGCATGCGTATAGGTTAGAAAATTTTCACTTCGCGAATGACAATAGTACAGGTTAGCCAACGGTAAGGAAATGCAACGTGCTAGTTTTATGTTGTAAGCCTGTGATAATTGATTGATTTTAAATCGAATGGAATTTTTATTTCACCTCTACTATAGATAGAAATAAAAGAAGATTCGGGTAATTTACGATATTTGTAACATTCCAATCGAATATTAATACAACAGATATTGTAGAATTGTCTATTTCAATAACCTAACCTATTCATTGATATATTTTGTTGTCAGTGTATACAAATTACTGGCCTTTGCGAAAAAAGAAAAAAAGGTTTTGCTTTTGGTTTCGTATAAAAAAAAAAGGAAAGAAGAAAGGATAGACAAAACTACAAAAATATTTATGATAAAGTTCTTAAACATATAATATTTGTTACAACAAACAAGCATTTTACTTGGTAACACATACATATATTTCTAGTATCTATCTCTCTCCATTGTATTATCTAATCTCTTAATCCAATTGAAACAAATATTCAGTATAATTTGTGATATATGTAATTGATATGATCTACAAGGAAACATTCATTAATTAAAATTCTTTAACGTACAAAAATAGACATATTTGTTCAAATAAGATAATTTCTTCAATGAAATAGTAAATGACGTATGTATCACTTCTTGAATAATTGCCATGATTTTGCAGATTTTAAAGTAAGCAAATAAATCAAGTAACTTATATAGGTATTTATTCTCTCTTTTAAAATTATCAGAGACTTTCACACTTACAAATCATAATACAGATAAGTTTTAATCATAGGATGAAATATTAAACGGTGATAATTATGTACTCTAAAAATTATTTTTGAAAAGGTAGTAATCTATGATAGGTATATATGACAAAACATTAAGGTAAATGAAGTATACTGAATATATAAAAATAAATATTCTGTTGTGTAATGGCAAGGAGTGAATTTAAAATATATCTTAACAATTGTAAAATATCTGTATACATGTACATCGATCACTTCTTTTTCAGAGAAAAATAGAATCTTCTATATTATGTCTGCTTTAAGTTAACATACAGGATATAAAAAAATAAAATAGTTCTGTGTCAAAATAAAAAAAGCAATAAATATACATGCATATGGGATGAAACTAAAGTTCGAAGGAGGTAAAACAACTGTTTTCTATTGTTTAACTATTGTTTCATAATGTATGCATGGAATGTAATGATAATAACGGGTATAGTCCGCTGATAGAAGTAACGTGCGTTGTCTTTTTCTATTCTTATATCTATCAAGCGGCGCAGTTTAATACACGTTTAAACAAAAAGACTAGCAATACACAATGATTATTGTTGTTTTGTTGCCATTGTTGTCACCAACAAAAGCGGTGACATTACTGCTGATTACCTGAAATGAAAAATGTCGATGAAAATGTTCATAATATTATTCATATGCTATCTCATTCATAATATTATTTTTTTCACAATATTATATTGCTTTTATGATTTTTATATTTTCAGAAATATAAATCTGGATAAAGTCTATTTATAATATTCATCGAGTTACCTAATAACATTCACGAATCTTCATTCATACTCCTTTCGATGTTTCTTCTTATTGAAATACATTAAAAGACAGCCTGCAAAGTCGACGCTTTCTTGCCTCTCACCCCAACGAATTTTCCTCGGAATTCCCATCGTGGATTCTTTTTCCCTCTAACTTCGAGGTATCTGAAGGGTGATCGTTTCTCAATTTCGTACACAGCGGGATTCGGAACGCCTGTTTCGTACAACACAGTTCGCAGTATTTCCATTCGATCGTAATCTTTTTTTTCAACGTTGCGCAATTTGTATAAATACCTTGATAACCGATCGTCATTCCCGCGGTGCTCGAATTGAATCCGTAAATCTCACCAGCGTTCCTTTTGCCTCTCATCCCGTGGAAACCCACGCGTGCTCTTTTAAAAAAGCCGCCACTATTTTCTACATCTTGAAGATCTGCTGCCTTTGCATCGTAATCAGGCGGATTTATGGAGTAATCTAAGTAATCGTCGAGCGTATCTTTCCTACGATCGAAATCCTGCAAAGTTCCCCTAGTCTTTTGAGATTTGCGCTATTTAGCATAAATAGATCGTATATTTAAATATACATACTATGTTCATTAAGGATCAATTAAAAGTAGTAATTTATCGTAATATTATAAATATTTCAATGTCTAGATTTCATAAAATTACAGAATTTAAATGGAAGATGACGATTGGATCCAGGATACAGTTACTTACAATTAGTTCATATCGAATTGATAAACAGAGATTAATTTCCTTTAGTAGTATTAGAAATATAACAAGATAATGGAGTATTATACAATATAAATCTTTGAATAATGACATCATTATGTAATGATGATCTATTTTGGAATTTTCTTTCAATTATTAAAGAATGGAATTTTCTATAGATATCTTTATATCGATAATTAAATAGAATTTCATAAAAATTCTAATTCTAATTTTTAGCATTAAGGCTGTTGGTCCTTAATGTAATGTAACTTGTGATTGAGTGACATAAATTTCAGTACAGTTTCATTTGGTAATAATTGCATACGAAGCATGTACTCACGTGAAGATCCATAAGATTTGGTTTATCAAGATTTTCCCACGTATCGAGGATTAATTTTTTGCCTCTCGTACCTTGAAATCCCATCGGAGCTCTCTTCTCCCACGGGAATTCGTCCTTCTTGTCGAGAACATTTGAAAATCCTTCCATTGACAATACTCTCTTTTCATAATCTTCCGGATAATCGATCAAATACACGTCTTGGCCTCTTGGATCCTGGAATCTCGCGATAGTCCTCTTTTTAATTTGATCTAAGATCTGTAAGAAATTTATGCAAGTGTGATATCCAAACAATATTTTCACCTTATTATTTATTCAACAGTGGAACTATCAAAGACTGAACAAAAAATTGTAAATTTAAAAAAAAAATTAAATTTAAGAAAAATGAAGAGAACAAGGAAATGTTTATAATGCAAAACAAGAAGAATCTCTGAAACTTGTGCAAATTGTAAATTGTAAGAATTTGGAAATTGTAAATCTACGAAATTTTTTTGAAAATTATAAGTCACTGATTTTGATCACACTCGTAGATTCAATTTTAAATACACGGTATTTTCTTAATTGATTCGTAGAAAAGGTCAAATAAAAATAACGTTAATTTCTACTATTAACAGATGCAATAATACATAAACATCTAAGAAAATTTCCTTCGTTTCCTAGGGGAGTAGTTTAAATAACGAGTTTGAATTTCTTTTTCTTCTTGTTCAGAATCATCGCAAAAAGTTGAAGACGTAAAATGCAAAAGAACGAAGGGTAGATAAGAACAAAGAAAGAGCAAAGATGTATGTATATTATGTTTCTTTGCTTCGTGCCACTGCGTACTTTTTGAATGATTTTTGAAATTGCAGACACGCTGTTTGCTTACCTCCTCGAGAGATTTTTTGCCTCTCATTCCTTGAAATCCCATTGGGGCACGTTTGTAATATTCATCGTCTAACAAGGCTTTCTTTCCTCTCATGCCTTGAAAACCCATTGGCGCACGCTTGTTAGTCTCCTCGGAAAACAGTTCGTTCGCGACGTCAGTGATTATCGAATTTTTCTTCCCGCGCATACCCTATGTGTGCACACAACCATGCATTATGCATAATGTCAATCGAGAAAAAGACAGTGAATGAGAGATTCGTAAAGCTACCAAAGCGATCAAAATTTATAATTTTCCATAGAAATTTTATTTATAAGATAAATTTATAAGAGTGTATTTTTGGAGGCTCGAATGGTTTTTTTTTTTTTTATAGCAAAATATATAAATAGTGGCTTTTGCTCTTCGTCGTATTATAAATTTTTTTTCTTGTCCCTTACAACTTAATTTCTCGGTTATAAATTTTATGCTTTAGTCGTCAATAGTTCTAGTGTTAAACAAGCATCACAGCGAGTGTATAAAATTGAGCGATGGAGTAATAATAGAATAATTCTTGAGAGAATAATGTAGGAAAAAAAAAGGAATAAGATAATTCTTTGAAGGATTTTCCAATATTATTTTAACAAAGAGCCATTCTTTTGAGAATCATTAATTTCGGAAAATTATAAAATAATTTTATTCTATTAAAATTATGTTTAATTAATAATATTAATTAATAATCCCACTGGAGGAGTAATAATAGAATAATTCTTAAAAGATAATAATAACAGTGTAAAAAGAATGTAATTATGAAGAACAATCCTTTTCAAACAATAATAGAATCAAAATTCTATGTAATTATCTCATAAAAATTCTCTGAAATTATTTTTAAACTGAAAAAGTATTATTCTTTAGGAATTATTAATCTTAAAAAGTAATTTTATTTCATTAAAATTCATGTTAAAAAAATTATAGAATAATCTCATCTCATCGAAATAAAATCTTTTGGTTTTATTAACACGATTTTAAAAGAAAATTTAAAGACACTGTTCTTTATATATTTCAGTTTTAATTTACCTGGAAACCCATGATCGCGCGTTTCAAAACTCCAAAGTCGTCCGGGTCCAAAGAGTCGAAACTCTTTTTCCCCCGCATTCCTTGAAATCCCATAGCTCCACGCTTGTCTGAGAGAACATCTGATAATTCTTCAGCGATTGCGAACGTGAACGATACTATTAATAAAAACGTCGAACGGATGATCATTCTGTAAGAAAGATAAATTATCTTGTTAATTTGTTATCTTGAATCGCCTACGTATTCTGAATAGTTAATCTATTTATTAGTTATATATTCAATTATTCGTAATCTGACTATTTTCTATTGAAACGTGAAATATTTTTGGCAAAGAATTTTATCGTCCATGCACGAAATGTTTGTGCCAGAAGATTTGGGTGTTCTATTCATTACATACACATTTTTATGTGTAATATTGTATGTGTAAAAAAAATCAGATTTTTAATAAATGAGATCATAAAATAAATGAATGATATATGTATATTAGACGATAAACAATAAAATACTATTTATAAAGATAGTTTTACTATTGATTAGTTTGTATTTAGTATTGCTGTTCTAATTATGCTCTTATAAATTACAAAGTGAATTTCACATGAAGTGCTGGGTTTCTGAGAAACATGAAGTACAAGAGTTTACTCGAATAAAGCAAAATAAATTCATTCAAGTAATTTTCAAGGGTTTTTCCAAATAGATACTAATTAATCAACAATTCTTACAACACGAAAGTCTCTGTAATATCCTGCAACATGAAAATTTTATTTTGCTTCACTGTTGTAATTCATCGTTATAAAAAAAAAAATCCCAAGTGAGTTGCAACAGTTAATATTAATATCCAGATTTTTAAATTGGACCAAACAACTACTTTCTCTTTACTGCAAGTAAAAGAAACGAATCAATCACTGTTTTCATCGAGTACTATGTACATAAGTTTCAACCCAATCGTAAAATCTAGTTCTGAACAGCGCAACAAGTGGACGAAGATTCGTCGCTACTGTTATTAGATATTTGGTTGACAATTTCGTCACTGATATTTCCATCAGTCATTTTACAAAAGATCCATTTGAAAAGATCTCCAAGAATGAAATGATACGCTCTTTAAATGATCAATCGCTCGTCCATTCTATTTTAAACTTCGTACGAATTCATTGATATCGATTCGTATCATAGTCGACAGGTTGGTATCAGTGTTATTTGGTATTTACAAGTGTGGCGTTTGTATTTCATTCACACGAACGGGTGCGTTCAGTCATGATTCTGATTAAACCAACATTGAAACGAGATCAATTCATCGATTCTTGCGCGTGAAAGTGTGTTACGTTTTATTGCTATCTATCATAGTTGCTTTGTGAATACTAAATGAATACAAAAGAACGCAATAATTGAAATCTTTCTTTCATGTGGATTGTTCCACGTCTCTATATCGTTTCTCAGAATGAGATAA